ATTTCTAATACCTAATGGTTTGATGATCTTTATCTAAGCTTCTTAATCTCATACACCTTTATTCAAGATAGCTCATATGTGTGTCTTAAACAATTCAGACTAATTGCCAAATTTCACAATTCGGATCATGGAAAGGGATATCGTAACTATAATCGAATTTGAGAATACAATTTCACAATCGCTATCATCTTAAAATCTTTCTTAGTGAATGCATTTACTCACAGTCATTTTCATGAAGGGGGGAATCTTATGACACTTAGATTTTAATGGTGTATGTGTTCTTATCCATGTGAATTTGTCAAAAACAAAGTTTACGACAAATTCAAACTCATATGGACCGATCTTTCTCAATCTTGATTTCTTGCCTTATGGTAACACGACTACCTACCATGTCTTCTAAGTAGTTAAGTAGCTCACCGTTTCTTATCAATGTACTTTTCATTGATCAAGGTGCTTGCCTTTTATGCGTTCAAATGAGAAATCATAGAACTCATATGCATAATTAACTTTATTGGAATTGCATAGAAGCAAGATAATGTCAACACGATAGGTTGTAAACTTCAAGTCGAGTGCTAGTGATGATCGGTAAGGTTTATTCTTGATCAGTTCTTGAAACTTTTCAAGATCATTAAGAATCCCACTGACTCCTTGACATATAAGATTCTTTTGTCAAAAAAACATTTCTTGACAAACAAATATTCAAGAGTTAGTGTAGTTTTTATCAAGACAAAACACTTCACAAAATTGGTCCTAGTTGATCTTTGTCTTATCCAAGACATCACAATTTTCAATTTTCAAATGTGCAAGAATAAGAAAACCTTTTCCATATTCTACATTTGATGAGTGTTATAAACCTTCTTAAGACTTGTCACTCAATGTCACAATCTTAACTTTAAGACTTGTTTTCGAACGAAGTATGATTGACTTCTTGATTTAACCATTTCTTCAATTCTTGATTCCTCTTCTTAGACATACAATTGCACTAAGATTCACTTAGAGGATCAATTGTGATATGGTTCTTAATCATTAAGACATATCGTATGATAAAAGGTACTCTCCCTTCTTCTTAGAATAGAGAAACTTTTATCTTTCTGCCTACTTGATTTTTCTTATTCGTTCTGCTATTGATATAAACCTTTTTCAATCAACTGAGAATTACACTTAATTTCATAAGTGTAATCATATTTACTTAAACTTAGTAAATCATGACGAATATCTTTGTTACTCTTGTGGTCGACTTGATCTAGGCACAACTTTGTGTAGTTGATCTCCTAGTCCTTCACTTGACACTTTGTCAACGAATTATTCTAATTTTTCCATATGTGGAAGTTTTTCATTCATCATACAATACTTGTTGTATGATTTCAAGTTTCTGTCCACTTGAAACTTGGATGATGAGAAACTCTCCCTATTTGGTAAATTCTTGACATTTTTACAATTAACATAATTAAGAATCACATCCATTCGTTGTAGAAATATGCAAACATCAATTTTTCATAACGATTTCATTGCAAGGAAATAAATAAATAAATAAGTCAAACCAAAATTTATTTTATTTATAAAACAGCGGAAATCATATGTCCTTACAATGCAAAATCAATTGAGAAACTATGTAATAAATATTCCTAACAACTCTATCATAACTTTATAAGCTCAAAATCTAATCTTCAAGTCCATGCGATCGAGATCCATTTCTTTGTGATTAGACTCATCTTGCTTTTCCATCCAGCTTCCTCTCTTTTCACTAATCCTGCAAAACATTCAAATGCAATCTTATCGCATCATGTATTAAGAATCAACGAATAGGAACTTAATGGAGTTAGATAGTGGATTTTACCTGAAGCACAACCATACTCTTTGACTCTCCCATCTTCTGGACTCTTCAGGCTCTTAGGGCAGACTTGTATCCAATGCCCTTTCTCTTGGCAACAAACGCAGGTCGGTTCGCCTAGAACGTCCTCGGAAGTTAGGTCAATGAGGTTTATGCAATGATCCATCATATAATACTTTCTTTTGAACTCATTATATGATTCAAGGAGTGACTGTAGAAGCCAGCCTATAGCCAACTCATCAGGGAATAACGCACCCAACATTAGCAACTTATCGATGTGTGATTTTATTCCTAGAATGTGGGCACACCCGGGTTTACCATCTTCATGTTTCATTTCCAATAGGGATTTAGTGACATTGAACCTTTCAATTATTTGATCTTGTGGGTTAGGGAGAACAACGGGAGGAGGACGAGGAAGTGAAGCATGATTTCTTGTTCCTCGATCAAATCGTGGAATATCATCTTCATGTGGAATGCCTGTTCCATGGGATTTGGGAAGACCATAGTTGTCGTACTTTGACATCTACAAAACGGGAGAAAACAAATTCAAGTTAGTTGAATGATTGAGTCCTTAATAAATCACCCAAATGAGATATTAAGGCTAGGACCCAACACAATATTCCACAACTCGAGAGAGGGATGTCGTAACCCTAATTGCAGAACATTTGAGGGTAAGTGAATAACGATTCACTAATTTTCCACCATGAAAAAAGAAAAATAGATTAAGTTTTAAATGTATTGAAAACTCATAGATCCTATGAGATTCATTGAACTTTTCAATGGCATGTTTAAATCTCGATATGCTCCTCTAGTTTATGACTGGGATGCCGAGGATCACAAAACGGGTGTGAATAACCATGCAAACTTACATGGTGCCCTTACATGTTACGGTCACCAATTCGATGTGCCGGTTAGCCACACACACTCCACCGAACTATGCCAAACATTGAGTCACCCTTTGATACCTTTGCTTAGAACCAATTAGTGTGCCGGTTAACCACACGCGCTCCACTAACGCCTTAGGAAGGGCACAAAGTGTAATTTCATGGAATTGCATCAATTCACTTTTGCCTAAAGTAACTAAGATTGGGAATTTTTATGAAAGCATTCAGTTACTTTTATACTTTATTATACTTATAATGGAAGGTTTCTGTCCTATCCTACCCGTTCGGCTAACGACCCTCCACTAGTCAAGAGTGCGGTGGGTAAGAGTGGATACCCATTCAATCGCCATTTTATAGACAATTTCCTTAAACACCCCTTATAGACCAGCTTCGTGAATGAGGCCTACTAACGGTAAGACTGTCTTTTTTACTCATACATATGTATATATATATATATATATATATATATATATATATATATATATATATATATATATATATATATATAATGTTAGACTTTTAATGTTATATATAGTATAGGGTGTATTTTACACTTTTAAAATACTAGGTGGTCAAATTTAATAATTATACTTTTAATTTAATTACATTGTAAACCAAAACTTATGGATTTATTAAATCTCCTTTAATTATACACTTTAATCAATTAATAAAACCATAAGGGTGTTATTTGAACTTTTCAAAACAATACTAGGGTTTTAGAATTTAACTTTCCTAAATTAAACTTTTAATCAACTTTTAAATTTCAAAACTTGAGGGCAAGTTTTTGAAACTATTCAAAACATTAGGGTTTTAACTATTTAAATTTCAGAAAACAAAACTTTTGAGTTTAAATTTAAACTATAAAACCTAAAGGGAAAAAATTGAAACTTTTCACAAGATAATTCAAATCTAAAGTACAAATAATCAAATTTTATCTAATAAAACAAGTGATTATCTAAATTTTGACAATTATCTTCTATTTAGGTAAGGATAGTCACGAAATATTGATAAAATTCGGATTTTATAAAAAATATTTAAGATAATTATCCAAACCCAAAACAGGAAGAAAATCACGAAAATTAGTTGTAAGATGTTTCGACTCGTCGAGTGTGGACTTGGACTCGTCG